AAATATAGAACAACATGGATAATGAGCCTTCAGCCTGACTGGACCACCTCACATGACCTACAACCTATCTGTACCGCTCCCGAGCCTTCGGCATGACTGGACCACCTCGTAGGGCCTACAACCTATCTGGACCGCTCGCCGGGTATGTTGACCTACAACACAAAGCAGGACCGCCTCAACCCAACACCCAACCAAACAAACATGTGCAAATAAATATCATATGCTAGCTCATATCATATAACAACCAAATCGATCTTACAGATCAATAATCATAGCAACATCCCAATAACTTGGATACAAACCTAACCGGTCACTAACATAGCATCATCCTATAACCAGGACACTGACCTAACCATGTCACTGAGCATAAGCATATCACCATCCTAACTACCAGGATGTACTCAATAAACATATCATTCCATAAGCGGAAACAAATCCATAAAGGGCCGACATTGGTGCCTTAGACCCTATTGATATAGTGATGAGAACTTACCTGGCACTGCTGATGTCCTATGAAAAAACTCCAGCTGCTGGTTGATGGATTCCCGAACTGTCAACGTGAAACAATACCCAATTAATAATTGGGTTCCAAGCCCAAGGTCCAACTTACACTCCAAAAACCCAAAAGTCAGGTAATGGGCCAAAGCCCAACCTATGGCCCAATTTTCCAATTTGGACCCAGACCTCTACATGGTGTTTCCTTATGGCCCATTTGATTATTCTAGTCCAAACTCTTGGTATTCCCATGGCCCAATAACATATAATCATAAAGGCCCATCTATGGCCTAATTTTCCAAATTAGGCCCAAGTCTCTCACATGGGCCTTACCCTAAAGTCCATCCAATTATTTAGGTCCATCTACTTGTTCTTGGATAGCCCTTCAATAATCCAATCACCAATGCCCAATAGTAAGGCTCAACTCTAAGCCCAAGTGAAAATAGGGTTTTCACATGAAATGACAAATAAGGTTAAGTGTTCCTACTTAACCCATTAAGGAATTAATCCATTAAGTTCAATATTGTCGTAAGTTAATTTGTACATGATTATTAATTATTAATTTAAGTTTAATACATAACTCCCGTGCGGTCCCGATCAATCCCAAAATTAGGGTTTCATGACATTAGGGTTTTCCAAACCCTAATTAGGGTTTCCAACCCAATACTAGTCCATTAGTCAATTGGTTGGGCTTTTAAGTCAATTTGGGCTTCATTTGGCCCATTAATGCTTCATTGGGCTCATTAGGCTTTCATTGGGCCCATTAGGGTTTCAAGCGTCCCAAGCGAGTCCAAAACACTAACAAAGCACACCGCCACCCAACACGACGGCCGGTGGCGGCAGCCACCACCCTACGGTGGTGGTTTGGATTTTTCTTTTCATTATTCCATTTTTGTTAGAATTTACAATGCAATCTCAATAACACACACTAAGCTATACATAAAACAATAAAATTACACACACACAACCACCCTTGTGGTGGCCGGTGGTGGTCTATGGTGGCGGTGACTTCTTTTCCAGATTCCAGCCAAGGGTTTCACACCCACACACTACAACACACTACATTGCACCCACCTAATGTATGCATAAATCACACACACAACCACCTTCCATGGTGGCTGGTGATACTGGAAACAAGGCAGCAAACGACGACAACCCACACCCGACTTGCTAGATGCGAACACAGCCACCCAAAATGGTGGCATCCGGCGGTTGGTCTTTATGTTTCACAACCCCACTGATCATTTGGAGCAACACAGCGGCAGCGACAGTGTCATCTATGATAGCCACCATGACCGGCAGCCATGGTTGTTTTCTTGGGTCTTTTCTGGCCAATGAACACCGACACCCGCATCCCACAACGAGTTTTTAACGGAAACAACAACCCATCCCAGCCACCCCCTGCGGTGGCATGAGACAGTCAAGCGAAGAAAAGAGAAAGGAAGAAGAAGACGTGGAGGAAGGAAAACGCACGACAACAAAAGTGAAGCAGTCGCATGGCGGCAGTGGCATCGACAAGGCTCGACCAGCACCTTCGGTCGGTACTGCCCGATACAACAACGATCTTGGTGGTTTCTTCTGGCGACCCCGATGTCCGATGATGCTTTAGATGGTAGCGGCTGAAGAAGGAGGATGGAGATGACAGCTGGTGTTTAGAAGCTTAGGGTTAGGGTTACCGGGTGGTAACGATTTTATATCCGGCCTCCATCAAACTTCTATCCATAATAACGCTTTTGGTCCCTCCCTCCCTCTATTCTTTCAATTTTGATTTTATATTCGGCCTCCATCAAACTTCTACCCACACACTGCATTATTATTCTAAGAACCTCCTGATCCAACCGATTGGATCCATGCGTCGAATCCTTTCGTTACCAAATACACGGCTAAAAACGATTGCTACCTGACCAATGGTAGCCTTATATCACAAGCAATCTTAAGCAATCCATTGCTTCCATGATCTCATCACTGTAGTGATGTTCCTACGGTCTTATCAATAGCTTAACCAGGTCTAATCCCTCTGGGGAAACCCATAAACCAATCTGTGGATTTCCGTATCCTCATTGCTACACCTGAACTAGTGGTTACTAGTGTCCCTTCCGCGTCCTAGCAACACGCACATACTATCTACCAACCTAGCAAATGTTGTGGCTACACCCACAGACTTACATCACACTACAACTATTTTCTAACCTTGTGAATGCTACGGCTACCCCCGCAGTCTTACAACACTTTCCATACTACCTGATTACTAGTGAATGCTACGACTATCCTGGCAGTCTTACAACACATCCCATACTAACTGATCGCTAGTTAATGCTATGGCTACCCCCGCTGTCTTACAACACTTTCCATACTAACTGATCGCTAGTGAATGTTACGGCTACCCCCTTAGTCTTAAAACACTTCCCATAATAACTGATCGCTAGTGAAGGTTACGGCTACCCCTGCAGTCGTACAACACTTTCCATACTAATTGATCGCTACAGCTACCCCCGCAGTTTTACAACACTTTCCATACTAACTGATCGCTAGTGAATGCTACGGCTACCCCCGTAGTCTTACAACACTTTCCATACTAACTGATCGCTAGTGAATGCTACGGATACCCCCACAGTCTTTCCACACTTTCCATACTAACTGATCACTAGTGAATGCTATAGCTACCCCCGTAGTCTTACAACACTTCCCATACTAACTGATCGCTATTGAATGCTATGGCTACCCCTATAGTCTTACAACATTTTCTATACTGGTTGAACACGCGCTCGACCTAACACACCACTGAACTTAACTCATGGCTAGAATCCCAACCTGATTTCCTCAAGTTGTGCTATCAACCACCGAGAAGACACGATTCACATGTTGGGGTGTTTTACCGAACTCCAAACTCACACAACACTCAAACCAAGTAGCCACTAGGGTGGTCTTCCTTCCTAAACACGATGCGAAAGTTATCCCAGTTTCAAAACCGATCCTGCTTTTTCATTACGGGACAATTATCCCCCACTTAGATTCAACTAAGTCTTCACAATACATGAAAATTTGAGAATTCCCAATCCTTCTCAATTTCTAACGATCGATCTGATGAAAACCAGACCTTTCCAATTAGTATTCCTTTACTAGCCAACCCCAAATGATCACACGCTTCTAATAACTAGATGAACATTTCCTAAATCCCTAGGAAACCAACAGTCCCTAAAGCTCGAATGATCCCACACCCAAATCTTGAAGTCCAAAAATAGATGATCCAACTAATGTCTCAACAACGAGCTACTTCCCTTGGCGCTTTCCCCTGTTCGCTAATAATAGTTACTAAAACCGCTGGATCCTGACAATGCTGAATAACCATCATGTGGGACCATGTCCGCAGACCTCCCATATAATACCCTTCTACCCAAAGTGCTCCAACAAATCTCCCGCTCTTGGCTCTAGAAATCATATTATTCAGGGTCTCGCACCCTGACTTACTCACCAGCTCAATCATCCACAACTAAAATGCAGTAGTTGAAACAACCTCTGCCCTAAATCGGGCTATAACTACTCCCAAGTCATAGTCTACAATCCCAAAAGTGCAATAGATTGTACAATCAATCCTTACCACCCGATACAAAAGATCCAAGGCGAACTGTACCTCCAAAATACTTATGCCACATCGACCCACCGCGCTTACCAACGCTAAACTACTATCGCCAATATCGGCGACCAACTGACCCCGAGCTAGAATACAACCTGATCCTTGGGTCACAAGCCTGCTTAATCCTTCGAGCTCGTAAACTGAAAGGGCACATTCCTCGCCCTAGAAAAGAACATTCCAATCCTATCAATTAACCATTCTAATTCCAGCTGAATATAATCATTACTCCTTTCCGAAATCCCCGCGACTCACATTCCAACCTCGAGAAAAACCCCTGAAGCCTCAAATCTAGAAACGCACACTAGAAGAATAACAACCTTTTACGACGCGCAATTTACGACACGCGATGATTAATGATACGCAAAAGTGTGTGCTCTAAAAAAATGCCAGATCTTTAGAAATTTGTAGAATTTTGGATGCACATTTTTGCGTGCCACTACATTTGTGTCACAAAAAAAAAAAAAAAAAAACCACGGAGGGCACTTATTAAAAAGAGCATGTCGTATAAGCATGTCGTTTTATAATTTTTTACGAAACGCGCGTTCTCTGTTTAATAAGGGGGAAACGAAATCCCAAAAGTTAACAACCCCGCCTTGTGTTCTTTTCACCCTTTTTTTCACCAATCGAAAATCCTTTCTCCTTACAAGCCCTAAGTTCGATTGACGCAGAAGCAGGTTCGATTCTTCTCTTATATGTTATCTTGAGCTTGATTTTTGATATTAGAATAGAGTGCAGGGGTTATTTTTTAACTATCCTAAATTCCAAAAAATCGCAGGAACCATTCTTGCTAAGGCTTTTTTCAAGAACGAAGCTCTTGGTGTTCTCTGGCCTCTACAACAATCACCGATCATGATTGTGATTCAATAGTTGAATGTACCGCTTTCTCAACATGCTTTCTTGCTCATATCTGTATCTGATTATCCCTCATGACATCCACACACAAACACTATCGATCATGAAATGTCTTCAAGGTAATCTTCATTCTCCCTCTTCTTCTCTCTCCTCTTTTGTTACGACCCAGCAACCTACCGCCTCCACTACCGCCATCACAACCTTCTAGTATGCTCTGCTTCCATCACTCTATGAGAAAAAACCTAAAACCTTCTACCACCATCACATCGATGCTTCACCTGCTGAATTAATAGTTACGACAACTACCTCGTCATCCGATGATCCCAAGCAAAACCTAAACCAAGTCGTCAATTCAATTCAGAAAACCCTAGGAACCATCCACCGGCTCTACCTTACTGTCTCTTCCTTCAACGTTTCCTCCCAACTCCCGCTTATCCAACGCCTGTAAGTTCTTTACCTGTGTATTTATCAATTTGATGTATTTTCTAAACACAAGCGTGTTTCAAGATTTCGATATTGACTCGCTATGTCAAATAAATTCTTAATCAAATCATCTGCTTTTACTTATGGAATCTGGATATTTTTTTCTCTGTATTCACAAACACACTTTTTATGGAGATGGATAACATGGCGAAAGTGGTACCTCTCTTTGTCTCTGCACATAAGGTGTTTGGTAAAATGCCCCAAAGAGTATGTTTTTCTGATTACAAGTTTTTTTATGTTTAGGTACAAGTACATGCTAAAGAAAGGGACGGAAGATGGTGTTGTTGTCGACTAAACAAATTTATACAATCAGTTTTTTGTTGCTAGTGGAGAGGGGAATACAAAGATAACTGCAACTCGTTTGCCCTTTTTTTGATGGTGATTATTGGTCACGTATCTTCGGTAAGATCTCGGTTGCGGGTGTAGGTATCTTCTTTTATTTACTTTCATTTTGTTATTGCCATCATAATAACACTTGCATTATTCTATATTACAGAAAAAAGTCAAATAAGGTACCCATAATTGCTGGAGCAGTTGGGGGTGTAGGCCTCTTCTTTCTTGTTATTGCTTTGGGATTATATTATCTTATATGGAAGAAGTCTAAGAGGACTAAAGAGGGTAATTCATGTATATATATCATATGTATGTATTTGATGTATTAGTATTTGACTAATCCCATGGAAATAATTTAAAATAAATGTAGGTGACAACGCATGCATTACATACTTGTTTGTATTGAAGGGCAAAATTGTTGATTTAGGGTAATATATATTGTTTAAGTCATAATTGTTTGTATTGAAAATTTCGTTTTATGTGTGTGTGTAAGTAGGTATTCAATACATTCAGCAGTCGTATAAAGTCAGTGAAGCATTTCCATTTAAGTGGATAAATAAAAAATGGAGAAAGGGGTTTCATGTCACTGCTATGGCAACTGCAGGAAGTAAATGGGCAATTGTTATGTCCTGTGGTGCTGGATTTTCTGATCAGGTTTTTTCTTTTTGCAGATTTTAATAATAGTTTTGATAGTAGTTTTATACACAATTTGAAAATTTTAAGTAATATTTTATATATATTATTATTGTGTTAATTAACAGTAAGATTATTTGAAATGGACAAAAAGTGTTGGTGGGTATTCATAGAATAACCAAATGAATGAAAGCACATTGGTATTTAATCTTTATGCATATTTAAGTGTACTTTTTGTATCCAAGTGAAGGTATTCATAGAAGATGGGATGGTGGATATAGGATAACATCAACCGCTGCTACGTGGGACCAAGCTGCTTTTGTTCACAGTGTCCCCAGAAGAAAGCCTGCAGACGAGACACAAGAAACATTACGCACTTTCACTTTTCTTAGTACACATGTTAAGATCAGCTGTCACCTTTCCTTTCCTGTTATATTATTACAATGATATCAATGTTCCATACTCCCCATTTGTTATGCATGACATGCATTTGCAATTTTTATGTCTAATTCTAATGTAAAAATGTGGAACAAGGAGGAAGGGGTAGGTTTTTGCTTTTCATCTCTTGTATCTGCAAAGGCTGAAAATGCTCTTTTCATCTTTCATCCCTTGTCATGGAAAATATGCCTTTCTAGGGATGTTTTTGATGAGGGAGATGTTGGGTTTTGGTATAATACAACATCCTATGGGACACATACAACCCTAAATACCTTGGATCTATGTTTTCACTAATTATATATGCAAATGGTTTCCAAGGCATTAAACCTATAACTAGCATGCATTTGACATAAACCATATAAATATACTAGTTAGGGAAGCATACCTTTTATGTGGCTTGAAGTCTTAATGTATTTGGCCTTAAGAGCTTAGCACCAATAGTATTAAATACCTCAAATGGAATCACAGCATACTTAGGACAAAGGTGCTCTTGAGAGAGAATTCCATGCACCAAAACACCTCCATATTTCTCTAAGAAAAGAAGTGGTGATTTTGGCTATGGAGTAACCTATTTATATGTAGGATTCCAAGGGTCATGGGTCTAACCCATAATCCATACCCATGGGTTTTATGATCCATGGTTCATGTGGCCCAACTCTTTATGTATCCATACATAAACTTGGTCCAACATAGGTCATAAGCCCAACACATATAAATATAACTAATTATCATAACTAGCCCCCATAGATTTAATTAGTCTCTTTTGATCACTAAATTAATTCCAAATTAATTCTTGATCGATACTAATTAAAACATATGATTTCATATTAATATATTATAACTTATAATATATTAATAAACCATAAATAACCTTCTCTCAAAAGTCCATCCTAACAAATTATCCTGATGATATGCAACCCAAATGGACCACGCTACTCTCGGGTCAAGTACATACCAATAATACTTATGGGCTTAGACATCTAATCCAACAGTCTCCCGCTTGGATAAGTCTAAAACTATTATTGTAAGTACGACTTCATAAGCTGACTAGCAATCGTAGCTCTTAAAGTCGCTGTCGAACTCTGAACAAATCAATGACGCATCCATTAGATAAGGAATCATATATTCCTCCATTCTAGATATCATATGGACTGAGACATGAATTATAATCATTCTCTCTGTCCATTTGTTGTTTCCCTATTTCCGATTTATGACGACTGACTAATTGAACAAATCAAATCAGTCCTGGCCCAGCCGAGCACTTCCATTTGTCATCATCAAATCATTGAGGGGCCCACAGATATTGCTTTTATCCCGAAGGTAAAAGGAATGGATAAACTTCGACTCATATGGCTTGTTCTATTACTTGTTGAATCATACACAAAGGCACGTTTTATAACATCGAGTTACCAATGCGTTTTCGTGCAATCAATGTATAACCAACTCATAGTAACAACTCATATCTCTAGGTTTGAAGAATATAAGATATTATTGTCTTATGATCACTCGTGATAAAATCCATGAAGTGATTCCAATGAGCGCGGGTTGAATACAATACTCAGAACTTATGATACTCATGAGTGTTGTAGCACCACCTTCTCCCACATCTTAGACCTCTACAAACCCAACCCATGACAATCTTGATTCATATCTACTTCCAACATATGATCGATTGTAGATGGTTTGAATAACCTAGTCAATCAGAACAATGACCTAGTTATTCTGGAAGTCAAAACATGCAAAGTGAAACACAATAATAATTGAATCCAATATGGTCTCAAAACTTATGAATATAATGAAACACCTTTTATTTATCACCATATGATTACACATTATTCATTGTATACTGTTTCTGCTATCATCTTTATTCTATAATTAAAACAATAGTTGTCCCATTCTCCAAGCATGTACACTATGTTTTTCTAAACACTAGTCATGCCACACACCAAGTATGCATACTATGTTTGTCTATGATCTTTACTTTGTGAAATCGATCAATTGAACATAACTCCTATGATTCTCATTTCACAGTCCCAAATCTTACTGTAAATGCAAGAATTCCAAATTCATGCCATTACTGAAATCTGTTAGATTCTAAACTTATATGCATTGATCCTCTTGTAATGATTATGCACAAATTCACAAAGACTTGGCAACAATCATTACAGAGTATTCCAAAGGAGATCAACTCCGTGGAAACATCCTTCTTGCATTAAGTTTCCTAATCATACAGATTGAATACTTTGTAGCTTTGAAGCATTTCCATATTCCATTTTGACTATCACTTTTGAACAAGAGTTGCCTCCTTACAGATTATGTCAATATGGTCCTTCCAGAATTAATACTATACTTCCAACTGTCCTTGAGCAACCAATCTTTGGTAAACCTTAGATTGTCCTCAACAATTGCTTAATCATTTTAGTCACATTAATTTCAAGACCTTTTTCCTTTCTTCATGCCCCAGGCATTTGGAAAAACATAGAAAGAGTAAATATAGCCCATGTAATCGATCCTATATCCGAAGCATATGGGACACGATTCATGATGTCTCACATAAAGACTAAACCAGTCTTTTGCTATTAGATTTCCATTTCTATTTGCCAAGTTCTCATAATTCAAATTATGAAAAGGGATGCCATAATCATAATTGAATTTTAGAACGCAAATAATGAACCCATATATAGAATTTCCTTATGTTGAGCCATTCCAACATGAAATTCGTATATATTCTTGACTAAATACGATTAAGCCCTCAATGTAAGCTTTTAGATTTGAGATGAAGTATAATTTCCTCTCCCTTAATTATAGCAAAACAACTTTTTCAACCCCTACAACCTCACGAATTGAAATTTTTGTTTTCTATAATTAACATTGCTAACTTGCAATACTTATCATAATTATCATGCTCCCTCTAACATGATGATTATTAGCATAACACTTATGCTCCCACTAGCTTTGACATGTACCCAAAAATCAACTGAACATCTAGAAATCAATACTTTATTGACTTTCTTACCAAAGTTCAGATTTCTGATACTAGATTGCCTTGATAAGACTTTATCAATATCATACACCTCTCTTAGATAGCTCACATGTGTGTATAATGAAGAGGGATGCCGTAATCATAATGTTTAGACCTTTTGTCATTCCCACAATTGCTATCTACTCAAAATCTACTTAGTGAAAGAGTTTCCTTACCATCATTTTCATGAATCTAAGAGAAACCTTATGACACTTAGATTTAATGGTGTATGTGTTCTTATCAATGTGAATTGTCAAAACCATAGTCACAAGACAAGGATAATGACAAATCCAAACTCATATGGATTGAACTTGTGCAATCTTAACTTCTTGCCACTAGAAGCTCAAAGGCCTGCCATTGCTTCCAAGTAGTTATGCAAACGATTGAGAACATGTAGAACTCAAATTTATAGCCAACTTAACTGGAATGGGCACAGAAATGTCAGCACGATAGGTTATAAACCCCTACTTGTGTGCTAGCGATGAAATACACATTTTATTCTTGATTACTTCTTGAAACCTTTTTCAGGATCTTTTAGACTCCCACTGTCTCCTTGACCTATACGACTTTCTTGCCAAATATTCAAGAGATAGTGTGGATTCTAATCAAGACAGACACTTAACACAATTAGCCTTAGTTGGTCTTTTTTTTTATCCAAAACATCACAACTTACCAATTTCAACTGTACAAGAGTAGAAAACTTTTACTCTTACATTTGACAAGTGTTTTAAACCTTCTTGAAGATATGTCACTCAAGTTACAATCTTAGAGTATAACTCTATGAATTATTTTGGAATGAAGTATGAATCATCTTCTTGATTTAACCACTTCAACAATTCATAACTCCTCTTCTTAACTATCAAAATGTACTTAGAGGATGAATTGTGATAAGGTATCAAAATCATTAAGATGACATTAAAACATGATACTAAAATACTCTCCAATCTTTTCAGATTTGAGAAACTTTTATCCTTCTGCCTAATTTGACACTTCTTATTCGTTCTGTCATACATTGAAAAATTTCCAATGTTTCAGAATTATACTTAAGCTTGTAAGTATAATCATATTTACTAAACCTTAGTAAATCATGACGAATAGTCTTATCCATCTTTTGTGGTGGACTTTGACAAGTGCACAAGAAAAGTGTACTTGATCCCTTAGTCCTTCTCTTGACTCACACATCCATGGGAACAAGTAGTTAGTCTTAATTTTTCCAATGCTCTAAAGTTCTCATTCATCATACTATACAACTTGCATGATTCCAAGTTTCGGTCCAATTGAAACTTGGGTGATGAGAATCTTTCCTTATTTTGTAACTTTAGACACTACCACAAATGAACGAATCAAATTCATATTTCCAATATTGCTATAAACATACAAACATCAAGTTTTCATGAATGCCACTGTAAGGAGATAAAAATAAAGTAAAACAAACTTTTATTTATTTTAAAATGTGGAAAAAAACTTTTTTCCCTACAATGTAACTTGAAATGAAAACTATGTTATTACTTGTTTCCTAGCAATCTATCATAACTCCTAAGAGTAGCTCAAAAATCCAATCTTCAATCAAGCGATAGAAATCCATCTTCACGATCAGATTCAACATACTCTTTGTTTAAGTTTCCTTCACTTTTCCTTTGATTCTTAAACATCAACATGTGACCCAGTCACATCTTGTAATAAGAATCTCAGAATAGAAACTTAACTGAGTTAGATAGTGGACCTTACCTGAAATAGAGTCAAACTTATTGACTTTACTAGCCTTATGATCTTTCAGGTAAAATTGATAGCTTCGCAACCAATGCCCTTTCCTTTTGGAAATAGGA